GTGCCACTTTTTTGTTCTTACCACATTTTGACGTCATCTGTGATCTATTACTGAACAGACGCACGGCAACATGGAATCTATTTGTTAAATAGATAGTCACCAGCGCAGCCAATCAGAGAACGGCATTCGTTATAGCGCGCTAGCAGATTTATGCTAAAACTCGATCGAAACACGGTACATGTTTTCTATTTCTGAAATATCTCTCAGTAAGTACGCGCTGCTATATGTCAATAAAGCGGGCCTTATTCCACTGTACGGCCCGCTCAAATGGAAAACTGCTTTTGTTGCCAAAATGTTTCCTGATTCGTTGCCAAGTTTTCTTCAATTTTCAGACAAATAAAAATTTAGAACTTTACGTTGCCTTTAAATTGTTAACTGAAACGTGCTTTCGACTTCTAAGTTTTGGGTTCTACGTACATCAGTCATTGAAGCCGTCCCACTTGACTTGAACTCGTTTCCCGGACCCTTTAGACTTGCAGTAGAGATCAGTAGAGATATAATAAATATTTTACTAACCTCGTTTTCTCAATCGTACTGTAAGTTACGTATCTCTGTTTTTTTGTCCCGTTCCATTCATAGCCCGTGCGCTTCGTGGTTATGACTCGAAGGGGAAAAAACTTGGGTCTTTCTGCAGGTACCGGAAAGCTTTATATTTTTCAGTGGTCACTTTGGATTAGTCTTTATTTGGAGTTGTTTTGTTCACTGTCTTTTATTTCTTTTGTTTTACGTAATTTGTGCTCCCGGTACTCACAGAAGGAACCAAAAATTTGGTCTATAACTTACTTGTACGGTACGGTACTGTAAGAGGTATGTAATTAATGAAATTAACGTCATTTGCTTATTTTCGTGATAAAGCACAGTTTTGTCTAATACTGTAATTAGGTGCCTCATCACGCCAGATTATATGACGTATTTTCTTGTTTTTCTTACACGTTACACTTTGGACTGGTACTGAACTTAAAGTTGTGATTTAAATTATGAAAACTTACAAAGTGTGAAGATTGTTCAAGCCTTGAAATGAGTTTTCCTGGATGATTTCGATGCTGTTGTTGGCTAGGGACCTAAAAGTGAAGAGGCTTTAAATCAAATGTTGAATATCTCGTTATCTCGACAATGAAAGCTCAATAGAAACGCAAGGAATACGCTTCTCTATCCAATGAGCACTAGGATAGTAAATCTTTTTATTAGAGGTATATGGTTATGAAACCCGACAAACTTCAAAAAAGCAAATAATTAAGAATATCAAGATTTTAGTTGGGAGGTCCACAACCGTCAGGTGCCACACCGTCTGTTTTGTGCTCATACACTGTGCGTGAATTAGTATCCGAAATGTTTCTGTCGGCTAGTTCCTCCGAAGTAACCAGCTAATGTGTTTTGTGCGCGGTCAAACAAAAACATACAACGGAGAACTTTTTCGGGCTTCATAACCATTTCCCTTAATTAAACCTAACACCTTTAGCCATTGTATGCAGGACTCTTCAAGTTTTCCTCCCGTTATGCTGTTGCTCAAAGCACTCTCCACCCAGGGGAATGAATAAAGTGTGGATGAATTTGAAGGCGCTCTTGGGAAAGAAAGAATGCTGTGCTTCACGAAATGTCATTCTTGTAGAGTTACACTTCGTCGGGAGTAATGGACGGATGACTAAGTAAAGTGTAGCAACTTAGTGTTTGTGATAAAATTCACATGCTTAATAAAACAATTGCTGAATTCGATGTTTCAGAGTAATCAATGTCTCGCTCACTGTTATGGTCATCGGAAGTCTAGGTCTTACCTCGCCCTTGATTATTCTTGTTATCTCGAAAAATCTCATCCAGTATATTATTATTTGTAATTATTCAGCTCTGTTTGATTACTTTCCTATCGGCTGCTTGTTCTTGTGTTGTGGTAAAAACCAGACTTAGCATATGAGCCTACTCTCAGTTATTTACAACGGTTTTCAATAGGCCATTTTCGATGCAGTAAAATTTTAACGTGGTTCTGATGCTCTGACTTTTGACTAAAGCAAAAGAAATTGTTGATTCGTGCCTCACCTGTGGTTTCTTTTGTATAAGTCCCCTCAACCTGGAAACTATGTCAGAATTTAAATTTGCTTATGGTGTGCGGTAAAGAAAGAAGCAAAAGCGATCTCAGCACAAGTAGCCCAAGCTCACGCGAGTGACTGAGAATAGTTCTTGTCACGGTTGGGTTTTCTCATTTGCATCACAATACAATCTAGCATGTATGTGAGGCCATTCCGCGCTATTTTGTTGTTTCAGCCCGAAATTGCCTCGTATGTACGTTGAATTAAATTGTAATGCAAATGAGAAAAGTTAACCATGAAAACGATATGCTTAACATAAATTATAAGAATAAATCTGGGAATTTTAGCCGTCGTTAAGGAGAAAAACATAGGCATTTAATAAAGCAGAATTCCTGATCTTATCTTATTCTCTTTAGCCATTTCAGAGTGAGTTCTAGTTATGCAGTTGTTCTCTGTATGTGGAGAAAAAGGTAAGGAATTCTGCTGTATTTTTATTACTATCCTTGCTTCCTAACTATCGGCCACTAAAACTCCCATAAAAACCCTTACAAGGCATGTTACACAACACCGATTCTCAGTCACTCGTGAGCTTGGGCCACCGGTGATCCAAGCGACCGACTATGACAACGAGCCGATGACAAAGTGAAGAAAATTCGCGTTCACGGCTGCAGAGCACCTGTGATCAAGTCCTGATTGAACGTAAAAACGAGTAAAGAGATTCGAATTACCCGTGACACTCATTTAAAACTTAACCCTTTGATATAATCGAACTTTCTACTAACTACATTGTATATGTTATTAAGACCACAACTACAGACTAACAAGATATTTCGTACGTACAGAAACTCAAGGTTGTCCAGTTTTCTGAAGATTCCCGCGGGGATAACACTGATTCCATTATTAGCAAGTGACCTGAGAATAAAATGAACTTACAGCGTCAGCGTCCTGTATTCATTACGTTTTCTCAATAAACTTACATGAAGAAAAAAATTCTGAAAAAAATTCAGGCCTTTCATATATTTATTTGCATTCTTCATCATCTATGGGTATGTCATGAACTCACAATGTGACCAGCTCCCATTTGTCTTGATAGCTCAGTTGGTAGAGCACTGCACCGGCATCGCAGAGGTCGTGGGTTCGATTCCCGTTCAGGCCTAAATTTTTCTTTGTTTGTTTGTTTGTTTTTTTTCAGGCTTTGATTTCACGACTGCTTAAATTGTGTATATAACTGCGATGATTAATCATGTCTTCATATCTTTCTCCGCAGTTCAAATATATGATCTTTCATATATTCATTTGCAATATACTTACACCAGTTGTGCTATTACCACACAGGTGGACTGCATCGTATGCCATCTACAACGTATAACATCTGCCGCAAAAGAACTAACTAGATTCCCAAAACAAGTCAATCTACATCAGTAAAGCTCCTGTTTGTTTAGTTAAACTGTTTTAGACATTTCAGCTAGACCCAGTCTGGCTAATTTGTGCCCAAGTCATACAAAGAGCTTAAGAAGATCCCATAAAATCAACGTTGACTCAGATCACTAGCTGGTTATCAACCAGAATATGATACACAATTATTGGATGAGGTTTTTGTGATATCCAGAATAATCAAGGTCGAGGTAGGGATTATCAACCGAAGGCTGAGGCTGATAACTCTTACCGAGACCTTGACTATTCTGGATATCACAAAAACCGAATCTGATAATTGTTTGATTATACATTGAACTAAAAAACAAAATGAAAGTCATGCTTTTTTCTTCTTCACGGACGGCAAGCAACACAAAGCTCGCAAACTTGACATGATTACCCTTAGAAATCATGCATCGCAGTCATACATGACAGGATTACCCCTGACCTTAAGTGTCCTTGACATGATTATTGTATAATCTGCAGCTAGATGACGTCACAGGCGCTGATACGAAAATTCACTGTACGCTTTCGGCCAATCAGAAAAGAGATGGTGAATTCAATGTATAATAATAGCAGTAATTTAACCGCGTGGTGAGTTTGCGAAGCTGACGTTTTGAACGTCACCTCTACGTCAGAGCACTGAACTGTAAGTTCTCGTCCCTGTTGTGACGAGAGGCTAACACGAAAAACATCACCCTCCAAAACTCGCTCCCGTTAATTTACCCTTTTCAACTTCGCTTTGACAACCAGCTTAGTATTTCACACACAGTCCCCGTCGCCGCACCCCATCAGTTTCTTAAAAAGACTAACGTCTTTACCAAGTCAGATTAGCTGCCTCCAGGTTTTTTGTTTCCCGAAAAACTACGACAGCAGGAACTGTTTCCTTCTCTTATTATACATTATGGTAAAGGCCTCGAGGACTTTTTAACAACTGAAAAGTCGTTTAGTATTCGATGTAGTCAAAACATTGCATATATTTCTAAAAGGACTGATGAAATTTAACTTCCTTAGCTTTAAGCGATAGGATAAGAAAATTAAATCCTTTCCCGAACTTGTTACTTATGGAGTCTCGGTTCTTATAGTGTCTTCTCGTTTGATATTAGCTGCCTCTCTCTTTTTTGTCTATCTCATTTTTCGAAGAAGCATGACAACGGGAATTATTATTTCTTATTTCTTACTTCTTATTTGAGTACAGTGACAGGTTCTTTAATAATTGAAAGGTCTGTTTCATCTAAAACCGCGAGTGAAAACATTGCACTCATGATGAAGAGGACTTTTCCACTTATTTTAGCATCAAGAAAAATAGAAAAAATTCTCTCGTGCATCTCACGTTTAATGTAAGAGTATGCGTGCCCGCACGGACCTTAATACAGGAACACAAATTGCACTGTGCGCTGCAGACTGCGTGCTGAAATCTCTTAACATCATGTAAATTAGCACAATGCCCAGCCTTACAGCAAAGTAGAAGATGTTGCCACATTGTCGAACACGACACATGCCATCAAACTAAATTCAGACCTGAACTTGATGCTTTTTAATTTCCGATTAAATGCTCAGCATTGCTTATGACTGTTTACCTGAAAAATTCAAGGATTGCAGTTATTTGTCAACGTTAGGGCGTTTTTCTTTGACCTTAAAATGAAAAGGCGAAAACGGAGCGCAAGTAACAAGAACAAAAAAACTCGAATGAATAGAGAAAGGTTGACCTGTTTTAACGACTAAAAAACGCCCGCGAGTTTTGGTTGGTCTAGAAAACACGAACTGGGGAGCTGGATTTCACCGGTTTTGATTGATCTATCGAACGATGTATTTTCCATCATATTGTAAGAGAGACAAAGATTTCGAACAGGGAAACGACGGCGAACAAAAGCTCTCATTGTTTCAACGTCAAACAAAAATCGTTCAAGATTTCGCTGTACATATAATTTTGCTCTGGTAAAAAGTAATTAAACTCGGCGATCATTCGACTTTATCTCGTAGAATGGTCAAATACTTACAAGGAATAAAGTTGCCTTGACAAGTTGAAATCCACGGATTCATTCTGCTTATCCACTGAGCACCGTCCGTAGACACGACCGTGGTTATCGTCCGCACACCAACACAGTGAAGAGCAACGTGTCCAGCTAGACAGGTTCAGGAATTCTAAATGCTGACCTCCTGACTGACACGTGCAAAATGAAAAAATAGCCACGGAGAGTAAAAACGTCTTCATTATGCTGTGGAAAGAGCAAATTCAAGGCTTGTTTATATCTGATAACGTATTGTAAAAGACTGTGAACCTTATGGCAGAAAATGACTCAAAAAAAATAATAAAGTTCACCATTGCAAACCACAGGGAACCATTAGGTCATTTACAACATGAACAAAGCCTTTTCACTGAATTTTTACGTTTTGGAAAAAAACAAGAAGAAGAAGAAGAAGAAGAAGAAGAAAAAAAACATGGTTTGAGAGTGCAATCTAACTATCGTCTTGGTAGATACCGTCTGGCAACTATTAAGTAATAAGCATTTTTTTGTGGTTTTCATATCAAGTGAAACAGTACATGTTTGTATACATTTCGGCTTCTACTTAGATTATATTCGTTTGTAAGAATTTCTAGTTTCTTCACATGCTTTACCTTCGCAGTATCTTGTTTCCTTTCACTACCCAAAATTGTGAGAAATATGCGATTTACAAAAGTGGATTGCAAAACCTTTTCTAGATCTTTCGTGATAATAAGGTAGAAGGAAGACATAATTTTACCAGCAATCACTTGTTATGTATTTCTCTTATAATCTTCACCTATAATCGACTGTGGCGGGGTAAACATAAAGTTATTTGCATGGCAAATTAATGGTTCGGTGGACATCTTGTAACAAATTGTCATTTGTCCTGGCCGCTCTACGCCAATTTGACTTTCAAATACCTCGCCTTGATTGCAATGTTCCTGCTGAGGGCGGAAACTGTTTTCTTGTTTGAGAAAGTACGCTGCAAATTTATTATTCTGAAGGTATTCATCCTGAATCTCGAAGTATCGATATTTTGATTGAAGCGTCAGATTTTTCCAAGGCATTCCTCAATTCACGATAAAATCTTCATTCACCTTGAACATCTGTGATCAGTATCGTGGATTCATTATAGGATGAAAGTACACTTCATTTGTTTTGCTGCAAGCTGACTAAATATGAATGTTTGCTAAAGGATTTCTTTTGCTGATAGTTTTGCATTTTTGAATTCCCAGTAAAGCTTTGTTGGTGTGTATTTTTTCAGAAGATTAAGTCAATCGGGACGATTTTTTCACAGCAATTTACGACGTTATAAATTCCCTCGTCATTTTTAGTTTTTCTTTCTGCCAAATCCAGCTTTCAAACGCATTGTCTATCCCCAGGAAAGCGAATCTGAGCCGACATTAAATATCTGACTAGCTTGTATGCGAAGTGATGTACCTCAAGGGATGTCACGTTTCAGTTTGTCGAAAAACTTCAAGGTTGGCGACTGCAATTGTTCCACGCGCTTCTCCGTCACATTAGGTATTGGAAAGATAAAATAAACTATACAGCAGGACACTTGCATTATGAAAACCGACAGCTTGTAAAATAAAGTTTCAATTCCGACAATAGAGCGTCTCAATTCGGAGACAGAGCAGTCTATTTAAAAGCGAAACGGAGATACTCTGGAAATGTCAAACTCTCTGGGAACGAAAATTAGACCTCCCTTTGTTTCAAGCTTATTTACTTTGGAAGTACCAATTTAAACTTTTACGCTTTCACGTTTTGTTTTCTTTTATTTTTCACTTTTTTAAAATTTGATTTGTATTAAGTTTATAGCATGCTGAGTTCAGCTATATTAAAGTTAATACTATTTTGGCAGAGTCTTATTCGGATTTGCAGGATTTTTAATGTTAAAAGTTTCGTTTTCCTTCCATTGTTACGTAAGATTTTTGGAAAATACTTTATCCTTTTAGAGCAAAGTAGTTACCGTATGTACTTTGCACTGCATTCTAACTTGGTTTCTTCTTTTAAAATTTGTAAAGGCGCTTAGTTTAAGAGAGAAAGCAATGAGTCTCGTATCCACAGGGTGCAAAGACTTTTCTCGTTGTAATGTGAGTAACAGTTTTGTTCTAATTTACATGAAATTATTCCATCAAGTTATTATCTCATACTTTAGATCTACGGCTTGTCTTAAGCCGGAACTAAATAAGTTGATGAAATATTGCATAAATGGAGCTTTCGTTAAAATAAAAACAACAAAATACCGAAATTTGTTGGAAAGATTAACCCGAAAATTGGAAAAACCAACATGAAGAAGCATGCAGACTTAAGACCAAAGTGCTGTAAATCAGAAAATTAAATGCGCGACATAGGAAGACATCTCTCCTTCAAAGACAGCCTGAAAGACGCCGCTCTGCAATTTTAATTGTATTTTTGACACTGGAATATCTACTTGCAATAAAAAAAATTAGTTCCGAAATTTAACACCAACATTTTTTCATTGTGATCACCACTGAGTAGTATTTTTGCATCAAAAGAAATCGTGAGATAACATCGATGACAAGACCCATGAAGAAAGCTTTCGATTCACGTTAGTGTTTGGGTTCAATAACACAGAAGCAGAACGAATTTCGAAATACCTTGTAATTAAAATACATAAATATTCTTCAGAGACACGGATGGAGTTTTTTGTAGCAAGGATTTATCATTTGCTCCAATTCTGGAGAGGTAGTATTGAAGAATTCTACAGCCTTAGCCAGCGAACGTGTTTGATTTCACAAGCACGAACCTAGTTAAGTTTAAAACCGTTCATAAATATAAATCAACATTTCAACCTAGATTGAATGAAGGTTTTGTATTCCAAGGCTGCACAAGGAATTGTTTTATTCATACAAGGTCAAGTGGCAAAATGTATTTCATGATTATTGGTGGCAAATAGTCTTAAATGCTGTATGGTTACGACTCACCTCGAATTCTTTAAGTCATATCTTTTAGAATATCTTTTTCGATATCCTATTTTGGATCACCAATGAAAATGTTGCTTTTCTGCTTCAAGTTACGGTATCACACCGAATTCATCTCCTTCAGTTGAGTTTTCCGGATTGTCGATTCCTTGTTCTCGACGCTCAAGTTGTACGATTTGATGACGGAGTGCTCCCGTCAGCTTTATCAATCTTCTACGATGATAGCTCATTCCGGTCAAGACAATTCATCAAACGTTTTATTTACATCCTGTCCTTTTGCTATTGGGTGAATATCGTCATTACTGTATTTATCATTCCTTTGATGGCTGGTAGAAATAGGCTCGTGTCACGCATAGCGCTGCCCACTATAGCTGGGTAATCGACTTTCCTGCGAGCGCCAGAGATAAATTCTTCGAAGTGAGTTGTTTTGATTGTGGGTGAAATCAAAGTTGAAGCTTATAAGAATTTTGCATGATTGACCGCCATGTCTAACTAATTTTACAGGCAACTGAAATTTATCAACAGCACAGAATTTAGCAAGAGTTAAAAGGATTGAATCTTATTATTATCGCTGAGTCATCGCTGAGTCATCGCTGTCTGAAACATTTTTAGCTTTATATTCGTACATTTTACTGAACTGATCGTAATGATTGTATAGAGACGCGTTACATTCAATGCAGGTTTTGTGTGGTTCAATACAAATGTATTATGTGCACACATTTCTTATTTGACAGATCTATTAGAAAACACCCCAGCGCACACTAGGAGCTGTATTTCAAAGAAACGAGTCGTCGGCGTAATAGCCACGTATACAGGCGTTTTTCCATTTTCCCTCCTTTCCCTCGTAGTGTATTTAAAAGACATAGAGGAGTTATTAACATTTTTCGCGGTTTTGGCAAGTGTCAATACGAGTCACAGGAAGCGTTTCTCGTTTTCCATAATGCCCACCAGTGTTCAACAGTCGGACCTTATAGCGAGCCGAATTTTCTATGAACGATAGAAATGAGTGTCGATAGAAATACTGTAACTGTGTTTCTTTGGGCTGGTTATCCATAGGGCTCAGTACGTGGGCTTTGATGATTAAATAGGCTTCAATTGAATCCAGACAGATAATGTGATCAGTTGGTGCAGAAAACAACAGAGAAACACCATACACTCTTGACTAGCATCCTTTGCGCCCCAAGCGTTTGTGTTAATTTTGTAGATAGATGAGGAAGTTCTAACTATTCTTCCAGGCCCCCAAGGTTCGAGGAAGACATAAATCGTAATAAGTCCATGCGTATTATCTTTGAAATTATCGGATAAGGGATGCGCTTTCCTACTACGCAATTTCTCTGCTATGTTAGTCCATTTTTCCTCAAGTCTGTCGAAAGTTAAAAGTTTGGTATTTGCAATCAGTGATCAGTTCATGCCCGTAAACAACCGTGCGATGCGTAAATGCTCTGAGAACATGACCTGTAGTCATCTTGGTTCGCATTTTACTTCCGTTAGTATTTTGACAGATGATACGCGATGGTATAATACGACCTGCCTAGTATTTTCAGAGACCCTTCAGGGCTGAGGAAATACGCTGCTGTTCACTCCGTAACTCGGAAAATATCCGTCCATGATGTCTGTCAAGTTATCGAATAAGGGATGTACATTTCCATGAACAGAATTTAGGCCAGGATCGGTTTAATATATATGAAGCACGAAAAACAGACTGGCTTTGAGTGAAGTGCTATTTTCGTTCTAAACACGAATACAGCGTCTTCAGTTCTGTTTATTCAGTGTTCGTTGCCTTCGAATTAATATATTTACCTTTCAGTTTTTATTTAAATCAGTGCGATTTATTGAATGGAAGCAAATAGTATATTTACGATCACTACGTCATAGGAGCGGATAATCTGTGATCAGCTGAAGCCTTCACCTTTTGACCAGCCTACCTTTGGTCTAAGACCTTGGATTGTTCTGGTTTGACTTTTTGAAGACGATGACGAAATTGTTTACGGTCTTGTGGGAGTTTGGCGGGTGGATGTTCGGAAACGTCGTTCGCCTTTTATCGACTTCAACCGAGACAGTTCGGTGCCAGGATATTTTTGACTGACAGTAGCCTACTTGGGAATTCTTACATATTGAACAACGAGGTCTACTAGAGCAAGTTAAATCGATACCACATCATTTTAATATTTAACAGTTTTTATGAATAGCAAAGTTAAGATTCTGGACAAAAGATGCATTGACCCTATTTGAGGAATGTAGCAGTGCTAGTTCACGTTGTGGCAAGATGCACTATAAACTATCTTGGCTTATGTTATCTTGGCAGTGGTTTAATATAAAACACAAAAAACAACTTGCATAGTATTAATTCTTCCAAGCCCTTCAGGGCTGAGGAAATACACGAAGTAATCTGTAATAAACTCTGGGCGTATTATTTGTCAAATTATCCTTTGAGGGATTTATATTTCCATCCTTAAATTTCCCTGCTATTTTTGGTCTTTTATCTTCTTAGTGTTGAGTTCGGTCTCTCTAGTCAGCGGTCAATGAAAGCGCGGCGAGGGGTGGATATAGGGGACATCAACAACAGAATAACACAATCGACGTCTGTAAGGACTGTAAGTAAGTGTTTGCCAGTTTCTGGAAGTCCACGGTATTGGAGAATGCCCTTTAAGATCATCTTGATTTGTGTTATGTTTGGCCATTTGGAGAGATAAAACGCTGGAAGTATTACAAACTATGCGGTAGTTTGTCAGGACCTTAGGGCTGATGAAATGCACGCCGCAGCTCGGAAAATATACCCCCATAATATTTGCCAAATTATCGGATAAGTCGAAAAGGGAATTTATATTTCTAATGCGTAATTGTTCGGCTATTGAGAAAAAATATTGAAAAAATATTGAGAAAAAATATTCCGGCTATTGAGCTTTCGTCGTTTAGTCACGTATCCGCACTTGAGAGTTCGGTTCGAGTAATGCGACTTTAAAATGCACTTTTCTTGTTCAAAACTGGAATGTTCTAAGCATCAATAAAATTAAAATTTCATCTATTTGTTGTTTAAATCAGCATCAGTATGACAAAGATAAGCTTTGAGTGAATCGTAATTGAACTCCGAAAATGTATTTCGTTTTTATCACTCGGAGCGTAAATTTTCATCGATAACTGAAAATTAATGGCTTCAATTCAGGTATCCATGCAGTAACATTTGCCATTCAGTTATTAGTCATCGCAAAATGAATTGAGGGTAGCTTAGTAACAAGTTTATAATCACTATGTCACATAAATGGATAGTATGATCAATTGGGTCGTAAACAGCAGGACACCACCATCAACTTTTGACCAGCCTGTTTTGTGGTCTAAGTGGTTGTTAGTTTGTGAGTCCATGCTATGAAATATTACGCCCTACGCCTATCTTGGCTTGTGTTATGTTAGCGTTGGTTAGAACTATAATCTATGGACGTGCACAACAAAGTGACGTGGGTGGTATTCTTCTAAGCTTCTAATGACTAAGGAAATGCATGACGTAACTCGCAGTATATCCGCACATAATATCTTTTCAATTGAACGACAATAATTTTGTTTTCGCTGCGAAATTCCTTTCTATTTAAGCTCTTATTCCTTTAATGAGTTTACTCACGGTTCCTCCAGTCAGGTCAATATTGCATCGTTTCGCGTCGTCAATACACCTATCAAAGCGGGATTCAACTATTAAATGCTATATTATGCATGATAATGCAGCAGTGGAAGAGGAAAACGGAAATAATTACACTTAGGCTTCGTCAGGATTTTTTTAATTTGGCCAAAAACGAGTGGAATTATTTCCTTATTGACATTTAATATTGGTACAGCGAAACTTAGTAGACGTTCGATAAAACGGGTAACCGTGATTTTCCCGATACAAGATCCCTTTGGTAAAATAGCCAGGATTTGAAGTCATCCAGATAACTTAAGGATTCAACTACCTGAAAATTCACGGCGGGTCATTCCCGCCTGAACGAGCTTCGGGAGATCGAGAGTGGATATCGATACATTTCTACCTCGTGCGAAATACAACATATGACCGATAAGTAAAATATCAAACACCAGAGAGCGTTTCGTCGCAATTGAGAAAACCGAGGTGAGAGTTGAAAATATAACCAGCCGCGGTGTAATCTGGACGAAACTTGAATGTATTGAAAATGTGATGGAGTGCTGCCTAGATTGTTTCAAGACTTAGGGGTAACTGGAGAAATAAAATCTATGCTCATTAAGATCAGATATTGAAATCACCACCTCGTTTGTTATTACCTTTGATTGAACTTGATTAATTATGAGTTATGTCAGATTCTTTTTCTTTTGTACTAAAACTCAATTTTAGACTATTTTCCGTTGTTCTTCTTTGATATGGACACTTCGGAATTCTGAAATTATATACCTAAGTGCAGCTATCTTTCGTCTTTTAGTTCAGCTTGCTTTTTTGTTATACAGCATAAAAGCCTAGCTTATTAAAAGCACTTAAAAGCAAAAAAAAAATCAGAGCATTCTCTGACGGTTGGCAAATTTGGAATATTGAAGGAAAAAAAGAAAAAAGCAACAGCAACAACAACACACACACGAGACTTACTTGTGAGAGGCGCTTTTTTCCTAAAGCTGTTATATGTAGCGTTTATGAGATGTTTAGGAGCCCAGGCCAGAAACACTCAAGAGGCTGATGTTATTCTGAATTTCACTTTTAATTTAACACCCACTGTCAACTGCTTCTCATTATGCGGTAAATAATGTTGATATTTAAGCAGCACTATCTTTAAATCTGTCTTTCTTAAAATCCCAAGATTTGCAGGAGCTTTTTACGACAGTAGGGATTTTCAATGCGCTTTAATTGCAATTGCTATGTAAAATGACAGTACAAAACGGTATCATTTTTATCGTCATGAAGTCGCAAATGCAAATGGAAATAAAAATGACCAAAATTTACAAAGCAGGATTTTGGCAAACCTACTTTCCGTTTTTGATCGAAATTTATGCGATAATTTATTACATCAGTTAATTGTAGGAAAAGAAAACAAAAAGTAAAAAAAATAAGTTCGGTTAAACTGTGATAAAAAATTGCTAACATTTGAAATCAATTTCCCTGGTGAAAAGATTATGAGAAAGGATTACACTAAGAAAACAAAACAGCAGGTTCCGTGATCTTCGTGGCTATCTCTCTAAGAATCACTTGAATTAAAACAGGTAACCTAGTTCTTCCTGCGGGCATATGAAACAAAATTACTATTGTCTTCCGTCAGTATTAAACTGAGACGCAGGCCATTCGTATAGTTTTGAATATAACATTTCTTAAACATTACAAAACGTTTGGGTAATTAAATATAACTTTTGAAAAAAATAGACCTAAATTATCCGGAAAAAATCTCACCTCTGCAGAACTGTCTTCCTGTTTCTTCGTTTTTAAGTCTGTTTCTTTCACACCAGTCTCAGGTAAAACTTTGTATCTGACTTATCATCGTTTTGTGGCGATAAACAAAAACCAATGGAACCCTTACATAACAATGATACGATACATATTTTATATTCCATCCAGGCAATTAAATTCACCCTTAAGATTTCCTGTTTTCTTTTTATATTTTTATTAAGTGCCTTGCTGCGAAAGACATTTTAAATTTCCATATCCTTCAAAATGAAATTAAAGGCCAAGATACTAACTCCACATTTAAAATGCCCACTCCATTTGCAGAAATTTTCATAAGCATATGAATCTAGGCCTTATCGTATTCTATAAGAATGGCAATGAAATGAGATTTAAGCAAAAATGTTATGTTATACGAAGGGCTGCGTATGAATTCTAGTTTATCTAATTTATCACAGGATATGAATTTTTTCGAGCGCAAAATGAAATAAAGTTTACCGCAAGCCACAGCGACGTTATGTTTAACAAAGGCCTTACAAAATATGGATTACTTCTCAAAACCATGAGATGGGCCACTGAAAAACGTAAGGAAAATGTTGTTGTAAAAGAC